CTTTCCCTCTCTGCCTGCCTGACTCAAGCATGTATGTCTTCAGGCACGCATGTATTCTACCCTTCAACCATTATGTACTGAGCATCTACTAGACGCCAGGCACCAGGTTAGAGCCTGGATATACGTGAGGATCAAAAGGGACACAGTGCCTACCAGTGTGGCATTCATAATCTAGTAACTTCCGTGTTAGTGTTGCTGAACACTGTCTTCTGTCAGGGCCCAGACAGAAGTAGAAACGGGAGGAGGGAAAAAACTTAAATATAGAAACTGTTCAGTGCTGAGTTCACAAAATGGAGGCTGCGTGGTTACGGCTGAATAAACATGACCTTTTCTTAGGTGACCTATGCTGCTCCTTCACCAATTTCCTTTTCCAATATGGTCTCTCTTCCTGAGCTTGGAATCAATGAAACAGGCTAGGTGAAAGGAAATGAAAGAAACATAGAAGGAAACGTCCCGCCATCAACAATATCTGCCTTATTACCTTTAGCCATGATTAAATGCAACTGGTTACAGATTACTAATTATTTTATCTTCAGTATTTATTTTACTCCAATCTTACGTATTAATATAAATACTTTTAGAAGCAAAGGGTTAATAACTAGGACATTGCCATACTATTATTTTCACATAAACTTTACCTATAAAATGTTAATGCACCAACCATTTTTCTTGATCATGTGGAATGTATAGCATAGGTGATTAAAAATAAAAATTATATTTAATTCTTAAAAATCACTTTAGCCTGTAGATTCACCCTGCCCCCTTACCGAATACCAATTTAAACTGTGAACAGAAAATAATAAAATAAACTGTCCAAATTAGGTTTTAGCTCTATTTCTTTTAACTAGAAATAAATTAACAACAAAATGACAGCCTTACTTTTTACCCCTACTCCCTCCACCATAACAGGAAAAGTAGATAATTCACAAATTATCAGCTAAAAATATTTGTAAGTCAATTCTTATCCTAAAAGAAAGTGCCTAACTTGTTGTGAAGGGCTGAAACTTTCAGAGAAATTTCTGGAATTCTTCTTTGTCTTATTTTTGTTAGTTTTTCTGGAGAAAAAAAAAAAAACCTAGAATTTTTTTAAAGCATTCATTTCATAAAAAAGATAAGCACAATCACTTTGAAAAACCAAGAATTGGTTCAAAATTCTCGTATGTATTTTAAATCAATATTTTACAAAATACCAGATCTTCCCAATATCTACGGGCCCTATAATAGATGACTTTCAACTAAAATTTGTATTTATAGTAAGAATATTTAAGATTTAATTAGTTAAGGTTTAAATAAAATGATATTTGCAAAGCCTCCAGGAGAAATCAGTACACTGCATAAAAGTTAACTATTAATACAGAGGAAGCAAATTTTTTAATCTGTGAGATCTCCCACATTTCTGTTTTCTCTTTAGGAATCCTCAGGCACTTATAAACCCAAACTGAAAACAATGCTGTGGCAGGCATTGAAAAATGACATAATTATGATTGAACTCTAATCCTTAAAGACAGTTAAAGAAACATGCTTCTAATCAATACACCTGAGCTTTCAGTTTTTTCTGTATTAATTCCTGCATAGAAATTTAAGAAGAACTTGTTTTATTCCTCTCCAGGTGATAAAGTCATCCCGCTCTTTACTCCTCAGTGTGGAAAATGCAGAGTGTGTAAAAGCCCAGAAGGCAACTACTGTGTGAAAAATGAGTAGGTTTCTGATGCTCTCTTTACACAGACTTTGAGTTTGCACATTAGTTATAATCCTGTCTCAAGCCTTTGTGTGTCTGTATATTGCACTGCCCAGTCTGAGCAATCCTCGGGGGACCCTGCAGGATGGCACCAGGAGATTCACCTGCAGGGGGAAGCCCATTCACCACTTCGTTGGCACCAGCACCTTCTCCCAGTACACGGTGGTGGATGAGAGTGCAGTGGCCAAAATTGATGCAGCCTCGCCCCTGGAGAAAGTCTGCCTCATTGGCTGTGGATTTTCGACTGGTTATGGGTCTGCAGTCAATGTTGCCAAGGTGGGAATGACAATGGATAAGAAAACTGCTTACATGCAGACTGTCAGGAACCAAAAGTGAAGCAATTTCTTGCAAGAATCATAGATTATTTTTGTAGACTTGAAGTGTCGATTATGAGTAGAAAAATGACCCAGAAAGAATTGAGAGCGCATGCTAGAAATTTCACCAATTTATTGCAGATAAAAAGTTGTTAAGAGTAAAGATGTCGTTTACAATAATTTTTCCTCTGAATTTGCTGTTTATGGGAGCATGAAATTTTAGGCCTGAGAACTCATGTAGTAATTCATTCAACAATTAGAGAGCACCTATACAAGCCTGGGGCACCAGAGTTTCTGCTAGGTTCTGAGATAACAAAAGTAAATGAAATAAGCGTTTGCCCTTGAGGAGCATCTAGTCTGTGGATCCTCTACTCCCAGAATTAGGATCAACAGTAGAGTCCAAAACCTTACCTGATGCACTTTCAAAGCAAGGCTCACCCACTCTGTGGATTCTTAGACGGAAAGTAATGAAGCTTCAGTGATGCGTAATTCACCCATTATGGGATTTCACTGCTAAAACGAACTCCCCTGCCATGAACACACACATATATTTCAGAAGTGGTAAATTTCAAGTAGAAATTCTTTAAAGGCTCCTCATCTGAGTAGGCTGAAAATCTAGTAGTATGCTTTATTTCATGAAACCGAGGTCCAGAGTTATAAAGATATATATGCCCAAAGTCTCAGTGCTGAGACTAAAATATCTTTTTAATATGAGAGCTGAGATTAAAATATCTTTTTCAAATCTCCTGCTGAATCTTAGCTCACAATACGTAATTATTAGTGTTTTAAAATCACAGTCATAAGTCTTGTATTTTTCTAAGTAAAGTAGAAAATGGTGTTGTCCGCACAGAATGAATAACACTTGGTGAATGAATGAGTGTATAGACACCCTTAAGGGAATATAAGGATGAGATTACTTGGGACAGGGAAGCATGTCACCCACAATGAAGACTGACTGTGGGAGACTAGGTTTAATATATAACCACTAGCCAACCAAAAAAAAATTCAGAAGGCATCTTTTCTAAATTTCTGACTTTAGCACTTAGTCTCTTGTTCAGTTGCCTCATCCGTGTTAGCAGGTGGTCAAAGAGAGCCTACCCAAGACAGAAGATGAGGCTACTCATAACAGTAGGTTGTATTTATTATTGACATATAGACAAATGTTTCATTGCTGTGTTGTTCGCTAGTGTATTTTTAAAGCAGGGATATACTTATCACAACTACTGAACATAAATGAACCAAGGCGTTAATTACTGAGGGTTTAAGTGGAATATTTTTCAGTCTCCTGGAGTAGCCTTTTCCACTAATTTTATTTTCCAAATATTGCTTTTGTGTATGTATGAGATATTGAAGCTAACTATCATGGGATTTCAGCAATTGAGAGTCCCTTCAAGATTGTAATCACTGTCATCTGGATCTCAAAGATCATCCAGTCCCCTGGTTCCCAGCCTGACCTTCCCATTGGAGTCACCTGGGAACTGAGTTCCACCTGCAGAGAATCTCATTTAATTGACATGGGCTGTGACCTGGACAGTGGGATATTTTTAAACCTGCCCAGATGAATCCAGTATGCATCAGTTTGAGAACTGCTCAACTATTTCAACTCCCTGAATTTAAAAATAAAGCAACCGAAGTCAGAAGAGATTTTGATAAAAGGTTGGACTGAAGAGTCTGAGTAGCTCTTGATAAACACATAGGCATGGCACTTTATAAAGCTTAGGCACTTTCTAACAATCATTACTGA